AGCATGCTGGAAATGGCTGCTAATTAAGGATGACTGACTGGCTAGGCCCAAGTTTTGAGGCTCCTGTGATCTCCATCACCACAACAGAACCCAGGGTTTGTCTCATAGAAGCAGGTAAGCCAATCCCTTTTCTTCTAGATACAAGCTCCATTTAGTTGGTTTTATAAGAACACACAGGCATTTTAGACCTCTTCTCTGTCGCTATTATGGGGGTTGATGGCCTTATCTCCAAAGTACTCTGTACCAAACCTCTGCTTTACACCTTAAAAGCAACCATGTTTGCACATTCCTTTCTAGCACTCCTAACCTGTCCAATCCCATTAATGGGATGAAATATACTTTCAAATATACATTCTACCATTACCATCCAACCTTAGCTACTCTTCTTCTTAACCCACCCCCCTCTTTAACACAGAATACACAAACTTTACTTCCATTCTAACCCAAAAAAGTCAATCCCATTGTGTGGGACACTAAATACCATTCAGTTGTTTCTCATTACACTCCTATCAAGATTACCTTAAAGACCCCACCTCCTTCCCCAACAAGACACAATATCCCTTAAACTGTGAGGCAACACATGAATAGTCCCCTATTACTCTATTACCTTATTATTCTGCTGCTCCTTAAAGACTACAAAAGGGAAATTTTGTAGATTTTTCTCCCAATAGCCTCTCAACCTGACTAGAGGCTCCTTTGCACCACTGGGGCTCAATTCATCCCTCCCCCAAACTCACCATGATGTTCACAATCTTCATAACCCCTTCTTTTTTTTCCCTCTATAACACTGGCCCCTATAAAAAGATTTACTGGTAGCCCAACATTTAGAACACTCTTCAATCTCACCTTCCAGCTTTAAACAAAACCAATCCCTCTCCGGTCCAAGACTGTTTGCTGTGCCTGTGTCTGTCTTCAGCTTATATGACAATTCCCACCCCCACCCCAATTTGCCTAGATAAACACCCAAACACAACTTGCTCTACAAAAGGATTTAGGCCCGCCCTTCAAAGATTGAGCCAATACCCTCCTTAACTCATACCCAACAGCCTTGGTACACAGGACTAGCAAACTCTTCAGACATACTCCACTTATTTCTCTAAATTCCCTATAACTACCCACCCAAACTATTGTTTCAATAACCCTGGACATTTTCATCATATACCAAGTCCCCTTTTACATTTAACATGAGCCAACACCTAAAAGTCCCTTTATAAGAAACCCTTCTCAATGCAACCAAACTATCACCATTAGAAGTCCCTGAGACTATGAAACTCACCGGATCAATTATAAAATCTCATCTGAGGCAAACAGAAAGTTCACTCAGTCTGTTTATCTCTCTGGACCACCTATAGTCTCAACCTTTTGCCCAGGCCTAATTATTCACAAGTCCTCTAGATTATTTCCATGCAATCTCATTAACATCTCATCCCCCAGTGACTCTGTATTAAAACAACATATAATAGGGGCTTCCTTAGCCAATTTCATTTTGATCTGGGAAAGAGAACTCAATCCTTCAGTTTGGTGGGGGCTTATATAACACCTTCTTATCACATGACTGTTCCAAACAGGAATCTTAACCTTTGTGGCCAACAATCTTTCTTGTGCCTACCCACTACTACTACAGGAACATGTACCTTAGCCTGTCTGTGTTCCAATACCAAGATAGCCTCCACCAACCAATGCCTCCCCATCCCTATTGCTGGCTACGTCCACTAAAAAAAGGCAGCCTCTCTAACCCCCCTTTTAAGAACATTAGAGGTACCCACAGAAGTAGCCACCTGGGTAGAAAAACTGACCACTTCTCTCACCTTCTACTAAAGTTTATCACAGGACTTGCAGGAAACCCTCAAAAAAATCTCACAATTCCTAATCAAGATCCAGAATCAGTGAAACCATTCATGTTCTGCATCATGATGCATTTCATCTGAACAACAGTTACAAAACTTCACCCAACAGGTGATTCCTCTACTAAAAATTAAAAACAAACAAAAAAAAAGCAGATACCAAAAATTCTCTCATTGGTGTAGCAGACACCCCTGCCCAGTATTAGCAGGTTATAGTGGCACAAGCTTCTTGCCCTTCCATAATCTGGCCGTGTTACATTGGAAGTAGCAGAGCTTGGCCGAGTTCACTCCCAGCCAAAGTCAACTGACTCCAATTATGAATTCTTCCCCTCTGAATTAACCACTTGTTCTTTTCAGCAAAGATATGCTTGTGCCATATTATAGCCTGCTGATACTGGGCGGAAGTGTTTGCTACAGAGTGGGATGGAAAACCATAACCCTAAACAAAGATGCCCCAACACATCAGAAAGTAGCCAAAAGAATGTGATGGCCTGGCCAGTTTCCAATCTTCCCTGCCCTGTTCCCAACAATACCCTTCATTCTTATATTTATTTTATTATTACCTTTTTTTTTTCTACTTGTAACAAAAGGCTGAATGAAATTAGCTTAAAGCTCCCCTTAACTTCCATTTTAGCTTTAAAGCCAGCTGACTTCCTGATTCCATCTTTCATTCCATTGCCCAGCCCAAGCTCCTGCCCCTATTCTGGCTTAAAAGGTGCTGCTCTGATTCTCGGGCTAGAAGATGCTGAAGTCTCTACTTCAGATTCCTGAGATGTGGCTATATTTGCCTTGCTAATAAATCTTTCTGCCTCCAGTTGTCTCCGGGTTTTAAATCAACCTAACAGGCATTCCCCGTCCTTTTAAAGAACATGTTTAAAAAATCTGAAGCTGGGCGTGATGGTGCACGCCTGTGATCTCAGTAGTTGGGAGGCTGAGGCAGGAGGATCACTGTGAGTTCGAGACTAGCCTCGGCTACACAGTGAGTTCCAGGTCGGACTCACTACATAAGTGAGACACTGTCTCAAAAAAAAAAAAAAAAATCTGAGATAGTTCTGGAAATATTGGCCAAACTGAGCTCAAACTTGTAATCCTGCTTTAGTTCCTAGTTATTGGATTACATGCATTTGCCACCTACCCATCCCCCCCTCCCCAATACAATGGTTTGAACCAAGGACCTTCATACTAAAGAACCATCACCAGAACTTTTGAAAATAATTTCTTTTAAGATTTCAAAATTTGAGATAGATTCTTGCTAAGTTGGTCAGATAGTATTCCAACCCTGACCGTCTTGCCAACCCTGACCGTCTTGCCTCAGCCTTCTGAAGTGCTGGGATTTTGTCTACCACAACTAAAATAACCTTTTTAAATGATGCAGGACTAAGGATCCCTCCCCAAGTGAAACAAGGCCTTCACCCTAATCAGACCCTGAGAAGGGGGCTGTCGAAGGCACAGGTTCACTCGGACCTTCAGGCCAAAGGCTCCCAGAACTGGGGGAAGGGAGGTCACGCACTGCGAGGTTCTCTCCGTGCTGTGGAGCGCGGTCCTCTCAATGCTGACTTAATCTTACCGTAACTTGGCAGTGCCGGCGACAACTTTCACTCTCTTCAGACTGGACACCACCAGCCTCGTGCCTTGTGTAGGCTCGAGCCGCTTCCAGACCACGCCTCACTGACCCCCACGCTCCGCGAGAAGGAAATGGAGGGACATCACATCCGGGTCACCCCCCCACCACATTCGGGAATAGTCTCTGCCCTCCTCAGGGCGGGGCTCCGCGCATGCTCCTGGGCTCCTTACTGAGCTTGTTGCAAGTCCTTACCTGGAGTCTTCGTGATAACTTCTTGGTTTTGGTTTGTTTGTTTGTTTGAGACAGGGTCTCTGTTACGGCTTGTCTTGTCCATCCAAAGGCTCATGCCAATGAGGTGGGGCTCTTTTGGAGGAGTTACCTAAATCTAGAGTGTGTGATTGATTTGTGGTCAGAATAAGATAAAAGGGGCACGAAGATGCTGTTAAGGTCTCTCAGCGCTTCCGCTGTCTTCCACCGCCCGTGAACTGCTGCTCCTCTGCCATCTGCCGGCCTGCTTTGGAGCCAGCCGATTATGGACTGAAACTTCTACAGAATGTGAGCCAAATAAACCTTTTCCCCCTTTAACTTTGGGTGGTAGACTATTTTGTCTCAGCAAGGAGAAAAGTAACTAAGACAGTCTCCCTGTGCGATTCAGGCTGGCCTTGAATTCACTGTGTAGTCTAGGATCGCCTTGAACTCGCCCGCCCCTCGTGATGACTTCAGTTGGGCCCTCGGATTTCTCTTGGTGAGCAGAGTTTGCACTCTTGACAATGTTCTCCTCGCTCAAGTACCCTGTAGAATAGGCAGGTTCTTGTGCTGGGGAGCCCTGCCTGTGGTGTTTTCATGCAGAAAGCAGAGCAAGAACTGGTAACTTTGTGTAATTCCTTTAATTCTGCAGTGCTGGTTCCTCAGTCATCATTCATAGTCACCCTCACCTTTGCTCCTTTCCTTTGGATTCTGGGCTTCCTAGAAAAGAACACCTCCACCTCCCAGGTGCAAACTCTTGACTCCTTTACTTCCTGTAACCATTGCAGAGTTTGGGTTGTTTCTCTTCGCAGGTTTCAGATAACATGGGCTATTAGAATAGGTCATGGAGTATCAGAGAAAACATACACGGTGCTATTCCTCCTTTTCACCAGCCAGACTTTGCCTCCCACTCAACAACTTTTTTAAAAAAATTATTTCCAATAGGTGAAAGGTAAAGAGTAGTGATTTTGTGATTCAGTTTTTGGCTTTTTTTTTTTTTTTTTTTTTTT